GAGGGTGGTGAGGGGTAGAGGGGGGGGGGAAAGATACATTGAAAAGATTAAAAGACGAATCGTGCATTGCATTTTCTGGTTTTAAAAATGTTTTAAATTCAGAACAACTTGCTTTTTAGCTCTCCTTCAAACGACTGTCGATAGATAGGAGAGTTGTTCTGCGTCTCCCCAACTCTTCATAACACATTAACTACTCAAAGGCAAAGGGCAACTTAAAATACAAAAGAATTTTAAGACATCGGAACAGTTTCAAAGTGTAATTAAAACGTTAATAAAGCATATTCATGGCCAAATAGAACCAGAAATTCCACACAATGACTTTGCTCACGAACTGTCCTCGCGTAGCTCACGTACGTGCTGATAATATAATCCCTTCCTTTACTGTGAGTGAAAATGCCATTCATCATCATCATCCAGTGCCAGATATGCGACAGACGTCGGCGATCATGGTTTTCCATTCACTCCTTAGCTCGGATGCTCTCAAAAAAGCTACGTTTGCCTGATCTTTTCCTGTTACCCATTTGTTTAGGTTCCCTAAGTATGTTGTTCTGGGCCTACCCCTGCCTCGCTTGCCCTCAATTTGAAAATGTCATTGTGCACATTAAATTACTACACACCCCAAGAAAGTATGGCACACAAGCTGACCTCAATTTTGATATGCGATGTGAAGTGAAGGGGTGGAATATTATGAACAAGTTGTAGAAATCGTCGTTAATAACGATGTAGAAATTTTAAAAAATGTGGCTTAAATGTGGCTTTGCTTTACTCACGAAGTCGTGTACATCTAGTAGGGTATAAATATTATACTCACAAACCTACCATCCTTCTTCCTTTATTGTTTTGATACATTCGTGCTTAATCCACAGCTCTAGAAAGAAATGGAATGAGACACAACACAGCACAGCACGTCAAGCTGGCTTCAATTTTGGTATGCAGTTTGATGGGGTTTGGTTTGACTGCGTCGATGAAATCCTCCGCATATTATATTAGTCTTTTAACCCTTTCACTGCTGAAAATTTTCCATCAACATCTGTACTGACAAGATAAAATCAATGTTAATTCAAGGAATATTATACTCAGAGAATTGTTTCAGAATAAGCAAAATCACAAGCTGTGACTACACCAACTAAAACCTCTTTTGTCAACCAGACGAAAGAATATAAGAGGAGAATACAGGCCAGAACATACGTCTACTCAGCAGTAAAGAGGTTAATACAAAACGATTGTGTGCATTTTTTTGTTTGTTTGTTATTTACGATCACTTTGTGTCTTGAAACATCTTCAGCGATACATTTTTAGTGTAAGATAAGCATACAGCTTTCGAAATATCTACATATAGATCTAAATGGATAGGCCTAAAGAATATTCTTTTCTTTTTTGTAATGGGACTCAATTTTTGTTTTAAAAAGAATATTAGTGGATTGAGGCGCTCGTCAATTTTTTGGACATATGGAGCTATTGGTATCATCCTAAAGTTTGAGAATTTGTCTCGCTTTAAATGAAAAATATAGATCTATTATAGTTATGAGTCAACAAGCGTTCAAAATTGGTACCCTCACGATTTTCAGTTTGTGACTACAGTCGTTTCCCCCCTGTCATCATCATCATCCGGTGCCTTGCCGACAGGCGTGGGCGATCATGGACCTCCAATTCGCTCTGTCTTGCGTTGCAGCAATGGTGTCTGTTGTTCTTGCTGCTCTTAGCCATGTTGTCATCTTGTCCAGTATCTTTTCCCACTGTCTGCCTCTGCCTCTCTTTCTATCAAACTTGCCTGTTGTTATAATATTCTCCACAACTTCTTTCCGCATTGTGTGTTCGAAGTAATTTGCCTGTCGCTTTCTTATATTCGTCATAAGCTGTCTTTTATAATTTGCTTCAACCAAGACTTCTTCATTTGTTTTTCTAGCTGTCTAGCATGCGTCTTATGACCCACAACTCTGTCGCCACAATTGTTCTTTCCAGCTGTTTATTGATTGTCCACGCTTCGCACCCGTATAATAGGATTGGCTAGATATAACTTTTCAGTACTCTTTTTCTCGTTTCTAGTGACAGATTGATGTTTGTTAGTATCTGTTTCATTATGTGGAAGGTTGCTTTTGCTTGGCAAATGCAGCTTTTAATTTCGGTGTGACATCTCCCATCTGATGATATAATGGTCCCAAAATATATGAAATGTTGTACTTGCTTGAGGGTGATATAATTGATTTTGATATTGCATGTTGGGGTTGGAGATTTTCTGCTTATCACCATTGTTTAAGTTTTCTTGATGTTTAGGCTTCATATAAATAAATAACTAGTTGGTTACACGTTTGATGAACGGACTTAAAAAAGAAACGTCGATCCTCAAGTCATTGTGGAAAAAGTGCGAACAGCTTGTGAACGGAAGCGTCACTCGTTCACAATGGCGTCTATGAAGACGGACTTTCCCAAGATTAGATCTAAATGAAAATTAATGAAAAACTGAAAATTAAACTACAGGGGCTTGAGGCTCCTCAATAAAACTGTGCACCCTTTGAATGATTCTGAACCACCGTTAATTTGTTCCAATTCGAAAGTGAATTATTGGTTCGGGAATTTTAGGCGTCCAAAGTGACGGACTTTCACAAAAATAATATGTATAGAATATTACCCC